TCGATCGTCTTAATTAGAGCGGCTCGAGTATCGTTGGTAATGACCGCGACCGATGCTTCTAGACTGAATCGTGCAGTTTCACTGCGTTCATTGCTAATACATCGATAGATCAATGGATTTCAGAGGATCCAAGTTCAATCGTAAATTCTACCCACGAATAATGTCAAAAAATATTATTGCGCAATGAATTTCTACCGGTGAAAATGGTACCTTCCGTTTTCGGAAGGAAACCCCGAAGCTTTCACTGGCCAAGAACCATAGCCGCTTACCAATGACCGCGCTGTTGCACGGTACCATTGTTTCCTTAACAATTACGGCAATTAGATTATGCGAACCGAGCCGATGTGTGGTAATTCAGCGCTGACCTAATGAGAATGTGACGAAAGATTAAGGTAAATTGTTCGTTGCAATTTTTATACCCGCGATAATTATCGTAATCAAGATGAAACAGTTCGAAGTGAAATTAAAACGGAGAAAGTTTCGATTCCGTCGTTACAATGATAATTTAGATAACCAGGAATTTTATTGGACGAGCAAAGTGGTAGTAAAAGAAACGAACCCTCTCGTGTTAAGAATCTTCCTGCTTTCGGTTCTTCCTTCTTTTTTTTTTCTTTCCTTTTTCAACCGGACGAGGTTTGTGTTCTTGCTGGAAGGCTGTAATGCGACTTTCAGTGTGCACGGTAGCGAACGGTGAGAAGAGAATTACGATGGCGATACACGAGAAGAAGAAGTACGCGAGGCGCTTATTACGATTTTTACTGGTCTTTACGATCGCGCAGTCGAACGCGCTATCAAACGCATACCTAACTGTACCTCGAATTGGACACACACGCGTGCTGCAATAGCGTGGTATTATTGCACCGACTTTGCTTGCATCCTCCTTGTTGCAGCTGTGGACGAAATTTATTGTTGTTTTTAATCGATCCAACGACGACGACGACCCAATTTCCCCTCTACCTTGATCCGGGCATCGCGTTTCGGCCTGGGGGGCGAAATTTCCTCGGCTCGAAACGAAAGTTCTGCCCCCTTTCTTTCCGTAAAATTAATACCGTTTGACGGGACACGGTATCGAAATCTCGAGGAAAAGATACACGAGGAAGAAAATAAATAATAGAAAAGCGTGGAAGGAAACGAGACGTTTTTTTTCTCTTGGTAGCCTAACAAAACGTTTACGAGCGGCCGTATGCAAAGGCGGTCTCTAAATATTTACAGTAGCCGCCACGTAACACGTGTTTCCTCTCATAAGCGTGCCGGTTGGAGAATTTTCTTTTGATAGTTAATACAGCTTCCAGGTACACAGAGAAGCGGACACGGTTCGCGTTTGTCGCCGCGTTTCAAATTAATTTCCTGAAAATTTCCCTCTGGGACAATGGTGTCCTTCTACCTCGTGGTCGGTGTGCCGGCACAATGGCAACCACCGCGAGCCTACGTCTACGAACTCGTGTAGGTAGTCACTGACATTTGAAAATGTCAGTGGGCCCTCTTGCAATGCGCTGTTTATCATTTGGGTTACCAACGAGTCGTCCGTGAGCCGATATCTGTACCAAAATGGGGGACGATTCGTCATGGAAAAGCGTTTTATTGCTGTTCAAGGTGGAACGAAACTGAGACTTCAACAAGAAAGAGACCATAATTCATGGAACGACCGAAGTAGAAAATCGTTTCGTACCAAACTTTGTAACACCGAGTGTAAATAAAATTGCAGTTACTTAGAAAATGTGTCTTATTTTTTTTAAATATTTCTAACACTTTTGTGGTTCAATGCGACTTTCTAAATGTATCTTCTAACTTATTGGCCAATGGGAATGTGAAAATCTTCCTAAGAATTTAACCTTTTCAGTCAACCAGCGTGAATGGTTAATGCTAAATAGCTTGCTCCTTTTACTTAAAAAAGAACCTACACAAGGTTGATAAATATATTTAACCCTTTGAGGACAGAGTATTCCTGAGCTTGCGCAGGTTAATGTTAATAATTCCATCCTTCAATCCTCACTTGTACAATAAGTGCAGAATTATAAATTATCGATCGTCCTCGAAGAGTTAACATAGAAAACCCATGGAATCCCAAAATCAACATAAAAATCGTATCCATAAATTTCTGGAAGAATATGAAAATCAAATGATAAATAAATTATTAGTGAATTCATTAGCGATCGTTTCGACACTATTATAAAATAACTGGCTGAAGCGAAAGGGTTAAAGTCAGCACAGTTCTTTACGAAAGCTACGCACGTAGTACGTTAATCAAATTAAAAGAAAGCGTTAATTGAATGTACGTGTTCGACACTGTGCACAATGGAAATTCCTTGTAACGCGTTAATGAGAAGTACTATTAAGGATCTCATTGCTGTTTGTTGCGATATCAGTAGCTAAGAGAATAGGGTTAACCGTGTAATTCCAGTTGTTAACTCAAGATAGAGACATAGGTTCCCTTTCAAATCGAAAGTGTCAAGAAATAGAGAAAGCGTGGACAGTTCCTGTCTGTAATACTGTTATGTATTTTTAATGTACCCAGGCGTGTGTTACGAATATTATTTATCGAAACGTAACTTTATGGATAATTCAGACACGTCGAGTAATACGAGTAATTTTATAATTTATTTAAAAGGAAGTCTACCGTGTTTGGTACTGTGCCTATAATAAATCACTGGTACCGAATAGCAAATGGTTCGTTATGCTGAATTAAATTAAATAGGAAATTAATGAATTTTTATTGCACATTCCTAGAATAAAGTTTCTGCAAATTATTAGTGAGGAGTAGACTATTTTTTCCAAATTATATTAATTAGTATATATGGACACTAAAATTTAATCAAACAGTTTAATAAAATTATTTAATCGAGTAAATTCATTTTCTTGAATTTTCCTGGACTTCCCTTTCCAGTCACCAGTAACTACCTAAACCTATCTGAAACCATTTCTTTAATTGAGTTCATCTTTCTCAATTTTCAAAGCTCGACTCATATTTTTCTACGTGCTAAACCAATTTAGTAGTAATTAGCTACTCTATTAAATTACTTGACGTGTCCGAAGCAGGCGAGGTCCGCGACTGACCATACCGCAACTATTCTAACATAAACACCCCTTTTTCTGAAGTAATTCCCGAAGGTATGAAGAAGTCCCAGGATCGGCAATCAGCGATCGTAAACCGCTTAGAATTGTATGTACCAATGGTACCTTCCACCGATTCTTATTACCGAGATTATACGTCCATTCGTTGCTCCTGATTGATGTAACAACTATAATCGTGGCTGGGATGTCGGTGCTGGCCTCGGTAAAGCGTCGTTTTAAATCACCCTACTGCTCTCCCATCGTTTCGAGTTCTAAATTTACGACTTTCTCCGGCCAACTTGAACTCGAAGCACCGTTTCGATTTATCCACATTCGCCCGGTGATATGGAAATACAAACGCACGTGTTTCGCCTATTCCTAATAAACCTGACGTTCTAACATTGTTCGGAACAATACCGGTTGAATAGTGTTGATAAATATATGGAACGATGGTTGTAAGTGGATGACGAGTGATAAATCATAATGGAAAGCGGGATAATTCTATATATTACGATGTCCCGCGACACATCGTGTCAATTCTTCTTTGTACAGTCCCCGTTGGCACAGATTCTTTGATCTATCCGTCATGCGAGTTTTCAAACTTGCCACGAGTTATTATTACTCGAGGAAATTATTCCGAGAGCATGGACGTTCCAAAGGTTCCTCAATAATCAAAATCATCTCTGACATTCTTACCCCATTTTTAATGCAAGGGGGTTAAGATCCTCTGGTATTCTATTTTTTTCTCCAGCAATTTATAATGAGAAATTCCTACGGATGGAAATAGAATGACTAGAAATAGCAGAAACTCACCGAGTCTCTCGTAGGTCGCGATCCCGAGACGTGAGGATCCGGTGGTCGCGTCGGGACGCGGCGATCAATAGAAGAGCAAAAGGCACATGTCCCGGTAACTTCTCACGCGGAGGTGCACTTCAGCCTCGCGGTCATGCTTTCTATCCAATGCCACACGATCTTGTTGACAACAGCCTCGATTATCGTTTCGTCCTCTTCCGAGCTCCTCAAGGATTTAAATCACAGTTAATTTTCAAATAGGATCAGATGAAAATATAAGTCGTGATAGGCGTTGACGATGATGCCGAGTCAGCCTCGATTTTATCTCAACGATTCTTCAGAATTTGATAAATTCTTTTTGAAAAATCAAATCACAGAGACGTTTGAATGCAGTATAATTAAAGATGATCATAAATTGTCTTGTTAATGACGATGATGGCGACAAACCACCCTTGGTCCCTTGTGCTTCTCCAAATTTCTCTTCTTCAAAATTCGATGATTCCTTTGAGAAATTGATATCCAAATATTTTTCTAGATAAAAATGGGGGATCAGTATCATCAATGATAATCGCGGATCATTAAACCAGGAACCAACCCCTTCTCTACTTGATCCTCTTCGCACCTCCACAGATCTCTCCCTTATTAAAAGTCACAGAGGTACTTGGAAAAATTTCCAAATCATCAACGATGATCGTGGAATTGCTTATGGACGTCGATGATAGGCGTTGGTTACTTTAACAGCACATTGCACATTGTCCAGAGCTAGAAACTTCCATTGGAGCGAATAGAACGCGATTGATTGCGTTCGAACGATCAGGCCAGCGGCAAAGGGTGAACATGAATAAACATCGCGAGTGAAGGAAGTCGATGATGGTGTCGGTGGTTGGTTCGCCGCGACGCTAGCGTCGTCGATACGAGCACCGGGAACAGCACGAGAGCCGAGAAAAGTCGGGACACTGGCCTGGCATCGGGTAGACCGACGACCCGGTGCAGCTCTCCTGACCACGACGACGCACTGCGCCGACGTCGCGACGTCGACGACGTCGTCACCTAGGCGACCACGACCTCTCGCTCTCCTCCGCCTAGCCTCTTCTATCGCGAAGGGTGGATCGATCAATCGAAGTCGCCGAGTACAGCGCTCTCCGCGAGATATCGAGATGTCGAGAGGGAGGAAAAAGCAGACTGTTTTTCCCTGATTTCTTTCCTTTCTTTTGTAATTTTTTCAATTCCATCTACTTTTCTTGAATATCATTTTAAAACCTTGAGGGACGATTTTTCTTTCTATTTCTCCTCGATATCATCCTCTTGGTTCATTGTTTTCTCATCGATTCCTGGTAACTTTTTTAATAAATGCATCGCTTTATCGTGCATATTCTATTGATCTAGCTTCTGTCTTCTTTTACGTGCAGGTTCAATTTCAACCTGCAAAAAGAACGAAAATCGATCGATTTATAATCGACTATTAACCTCAAGATTGTTTATTACAAATTACCAAAAAGGTTATACGAGCGAAATGGTGAAAAATGCCATAAAAGTGTACGCTCGACTGAAGCCCGAAAAAAATAGAAAGAACATAATGGTATATACTTTCAAGTACAATTATAGATTCAATTTTCTATCACGAATGTTCTTCTGAAAAGAATTACCAAATCCGTCATCGTCCTAAAGAGAAGTTGGAGGAAGATTTCTTATTCCTCGTCGTACCGAGTCAAAAGACGAAAGAGTATCCCGATAACCGACCTGAATCATGGAATTTCTCGTGAGATATCGCTAAATTAATCTTTGACTCTCGAATACACAAATCGGATACCTGGAACTTTCAGTTTCTTCCGAATATTCGAGGAATCCACCACGCAGGAGGACGTGTTCAAGAACGTCGCCCGACCGGTAGTGGAAAGGTAAAAGTAATCGTGTCGTTCGTTAATTAATAACAATACAATTCTTATCCATTCAGATATACGATTTCGTTTCTTAAAGTGCTCTCGATGGCTACAATGGTACCATATTCGCCTACGGCCAGGTATAACAAACCGACAAATAGCTACATTAATCCCTTCATTTAGGGGGATTTAATTGAACGTGCTTGAAATTTTTTTTTTAATTGAAATTACCCCTGTAAATGGAGGGATTACGCTATTTCAAAATATGTGCATAAACGATGTTTAAGGAAACCGTGAACATTGTAGACAGCCAGCGGGAAGACGTACTCGATAACCGGAAAGCAAGAGAGCTCCGAGACTCTCGGCATCATACCAAGAAGCCTGCTCTATCTGTTCGAAGCGATTCAAAAGGTTGAGTTTCGTATAATCGCGGCCCGAAGTATCCTCGAGCAGCACTCTCGGCGTAAGGGTGGAAGGAGAATTTTCACACAACCCTTCTTCGATTCTCTACAGCGACCGGAAAACGTGTACTCGGTCGAGGTGGCTTATCTGGAGATTTACAACGAGAATGGTTACGACCTGTTGGATCGCAGGCAGCAACGAGACAACCCGGTTACGAGATTGGAAGATTTACCGTAAGTTCATCTTTCGTAAAAAAACTAGAAGAAACAGTACTGTCACCTATTTCAAATAGAAACTAACAAATGAGTGCACCAAGTGCAACCGTTTCTTTCGCAATTGCTTTCGAAAAATTCAATTACGTAATTGAAGATGGTAATATTTGATAAACGAGTGCAGAAATATTCAACGAAAGGAACGTATGATTTTCTCGTTCGATGCATCCTCTACCTGCTATTTAATTAATTGACTAGATTGCTTCTTTTGAAAAAAAAAGAGTCACTCGATAGACGGTTCACCGATCATTATTGATAGCGGAAGCTTAATCGGCCAGCCGGGAGTGTTTTATGTAATATAGGAAATTCTTTGATAGACACTGATCATTTTCCTAGGTAACTCGATTAATGAATAAAAGAACGTGAAAAAGCAAATCTATTCCAGACGCGTTGCCGTTCAGGAAGACGAGATCGGTCGGCTACACATGAAGAATCTGACCTTCCATTGCGTTGGAAACGCGGAGGATGCTTTCGAGCTACTTCTGGTGGGCGACAGCAATCGGTGAGATAATTTGCAATGCATGCTCGTATTGTTGTCTCGAAGAAAAAAGCTGAGAACGTTGCGCGTGGTCGTGGCAGACCAGTTTGTAGTGTAATTTAACCCTTTCAGCGGGAGAGTTTTTCCTAGGGACGGCTTTCAGCCGGAAGTAATAGACGCCAACACTCGGTTGCTGTTACATTTGTTCCCCTTTTTATCTTTAATCAAACTTAGACAAATATTATTGTATTTTCGAGTCTAGGATTCCCAGTTGATTTCTATTGCAATGAAAGGGTTAAATTAATTTTAAATATCGGTTCAAGGGTCACCATCGAGACGCCGATGAATCCAGAGTCATCGAGATCCCATTGCATCTTTACCATCGTGGTTTGCACGAAGAAGTTCGGTGCGGACGAGTATAAGCGAGCGAAAGTACACCTGGTGGATCTGGCTGGGTTCGTATGTCTACTTCCGTTTTGATCGACTGAAGGTACGATGCTAATTAGCTCCTGGATTAGGCTGACCTGCTGCTAAACACTATACGCTACTAATTAAATTTTCATCAAGAGTTCATTAAATTAAATTCCACTACTATTTGTATAAATTAACTAAATTTTTCCTAATTTTATTTTATTTTTTTTTTTAGGGACCAATTGCAATCTACATCAATTTAGTCGTATAAATGATAAAAAAGAATAATTTCATGATAAATCTATCAGAGTGGACATTAACATCCCAATTGACTGCAATTGCATCACACGCATTGACCCACTTGTCCACAAGTATTTTTCCCGCGCGTTCCTTTGCGTCGTGCTTTCTCATCGCCATCTGCGTCCGATGGTGGCAAAATTTCGTAACGGTACCCGATTTTTCAAAGCGAGATCTCCCCGTAGGTCCGAGCGGGTCTACAAATGCTCGATAAGCGGCACCATTCTAACCGAGGCGAAGCACATTAACCTGAGCCTACATTACCTGGAACAAGTCATAGTGTGTCTGGGTCAGGAGAGCACGGGTCACATTCCATACAGGTGCTAAATTCATTCGGAAACAAGTATTCAAGAATCCATAGCTTTCGTTCATTCCATAGTTCCACTATCCATTATGCTAAATTACTTTCATCACGAACACAAGCGCCTTCCGTTAATCCTTTTATACTTCATCCATTGTAAGAAGTTTATTTTATTCTTCCCTTTTATAATCATTTATTTCAAATCAATCGCGTGGTTTTTTTTTAGTGGAAAGTGGATCGTGGCGACAGTCGAAACATCCCATCGTTAATCAACCATGATACGTTCATCGTTCATTTCTTTGTCAAGAATTCCATTCTTTCGATTTTTGTTTTATCCTCAGGAATTCCCTTTTAACATCGATCCTAAGAGACAGTCTAGGAGGAAACTGTTTAACCACCATGTTAGCTACCATAAGCGTCGAGTCCTACAATCTACAGGTGCTAATTACCTTTCCTCCGCATCGAAATTATTTCAAGCATTTCTATCGTTTAATTAGCTGTATTTTGCGATCGTTAGGAGACAGTGTCCACTTGTAAATTCGCTCAAAGGGTTGCTTTGATCAGGAACGACGTGAAAGTGGTTCTGGAAAAGGACGTTCACAGTGAGAACGCTTTATTGAGATTAGAAAACGAGAAACTGAGGCAACAGCTTAAGGAAATGACGAAGGAAACTGTAAATTTCTTGCTGATTTTCAATTAAAGAATCTGTGGTTTTAATATGCTTTTCTGTTTATAGAAAGCGGAAGAACTTACCGCCGAGGAGAAGCAAAGACTGGACTTTAATATCAGAAGCTTCTTAGAATCAAATGAACAAATTAAGGTGGATAATAATCCAAAGAAAATTGAATATTGTTTCGAAAGCTTGAAGAGGATTTTCAAATTGAACAGTGATCCGGATAGTTGCATGAAGAAGCTCGAATATTATAAGGATCTCGTTATTCAAAGAGACAAAGAGATTTGTATCCTATCTATACAATGTTCCTTTTTGTTAAATTTATTTTATTTTCCTGATTTTTGAATAGCATTGTTGATCGATTTGATAAAGAAGGAGCGGAAGAAGGGGAAAGAAGGTTGCTGTAATGAATCAAGTATCAATAAGTAGCTAATCCTTTTATTATCTGCATAAATATTATTCTATTGCACTTTTATTAGGATCAATCGAAGAAAAATTGGAAGGTAATTTGAAAGTAATAGAAAATTCAAGCAGTCTTTCAAATTTTGATAAAATTCAAGTGAACAAGGAATGCAATGGACAGGGAGACCACTGTAATATAAATTATTCTAATTCCATTTGATTTTATACATTTTGTTGAAATAGGTAATAATAAAATTAATTTTAGCACCCAAAGTATTTACTGAAACAGATGACAGGATGTCGTCCATGATTAATAACATTTTAAAAAATACTGTTCCTTCAAAAAAACAAAAAGCAAGACCCAAAATTAACAAATCTTTGCATCAAAGAAATTTAATGACCAATTTGGATCAGAATATCGATACTTCCAAAACTGTCGAACAATCTTCGTCAAATAAATCAATTTCCAACGATTGTCCAAAGCAGAACTCGTTACCCTGTAACATTATCAACTTGACTCTGAATAATTCAACCGAGACCGACGAAACGAATCAGCAATCTTTCCGTAAAAAGGAACGGAAAAAGGTAAAATCCGGAGAAATTGAGGCTTCCAAAAAGAAGGCTATCGAAATCAAACAGAATGCAGAATCATCGAGTGTACGAATAGAACCTGAGAAAATTGAAGTCCCAGTTTTAGAAACAAATAATGTTAAACCGTACTATCAACGTTTCTTAAGCTTCAACGTTCCCAAAAATTCTAACAATTCCATGACTGACAATTTAACCGAGAGAAAATTCATAGATCAAACAGTTGAAACTAAAAATCAGAATAAAATTAATTCTAACGAGCAGTGTAAAGTGTCAAAATTAAATTCTGAAGAAAATTCCAATTACAAACCTTGCCTTGATTTAAAATTAAATTTAGAATCAACAGTTTCTCAGAGACAGGAGCAACTGACCGATAGAATGAGAAAGTGTCTTAATGTTGATCACCTAATGAGCTCAAGATCAATCGGTGTTAATTCACGTGACATCGATGTCGGTTTAAACCAACAGAGAAATGCAGAATCTCTGGAAAACGAGGCAAAAGAAAGTCATAAGCAATCAACAAGAAGTAATGTATGTTCCTTTGATAAGCTAGACAGCAACAGAAGAAAAACGAGTGAAAAGAGGACTAGTATTTCCAGTTTCACGGTTGACCAGCCGGAAAAACCTTACGTCTTTGATGAACAGAGGAAGGAAGAAGTTAATCAAACGTCGAATTACGATGGAAATAAAGATTTCGAGGGTTCGTTACCATTGACAGGTGATCCAGAGATTGACGAAGAGATTATCGCCTTTTACAAAGCGAAGAGGTCAGGTGGTACTTATTAAATCCCTAATAACACTCAAACAGTAATTAGAACGTGATCTGTAGCAGTAATTACAAATAATCAGTGTTATCTACTTTCAAGATAACTCAAGTGTGATTAAGCATACATTTGATACATTTAATTGATTATAAATTTAAATATGTACAATAATTAATTACCTACGAATAACAGAGTAATTAATGAACAATTTTCTGCAGTTTCATTGATACTTATCTAAACAGGAGAATTCTTCCATGTCTAATTTCTCTCCGTACATTTCAGCTTCTAGAATTGTTAAACGATTATCATGAATCAAGGCAAGACAGTGTCGTTTCGCTAGATTGGCATATTTTCTGATTTTAAAGCTGAATAATTTGTCAACGTCCATTTTTAAGCTGTCTTTATACACGAAGCCTTGAATACCTAAAAGAAATATAAATATTTTATAAGATTTTTAGAATAAACTATTATAGATTTCTTTAGAATACCTCTGTATTCATAAATTTGAAGATGCATTCTATTTTCTATGAAAATTAATAGTGTTTCGATTGATCCTTCGAAATTGAGTATGGTAAAAAACGTTGGTCGATGGGCATTTATGGTTTGCACGATCTTCTTTCGTGTTTCACCGTTCTTACAAATCTAAGTGAAGTATAAAAGAAAATTATTGATAAAAATCACTGAAAATTTAATTTTAACGCAACTAAATGATTTGACTCACAAATACACGATCTTCGCTAATTTCTTCATCATAATATAGCAATATCTTCTTCTCGAGTGCTCCAGCTTTGAAATTCAAAACTTCTGCTCTCTTAACACTCTTCTGAAGACTATTATTAGCGAAACGAGCAACGTTGTATTCGTAGATCTCAGGTTTACTAGATAAAAGCATCTGATCTTCTAAAACGATTTTCACCTGGTCGTCTGCCAGAGACGAGAGAGACTTTTCTAAAATCTCATTTGTTTCTTTCGAAGATCTCATTTGTTCATTTCTATTAACCAACATTAAGAAGATGTCCTCATTTATCTTTCTGCTGTCCACGTTGTGACCAAGATCCAATACGTGCTGAAAAATAAATAACTAAATAAATAAATAAATACAAAGTGCCCCAGCTAAAAGAAGCCACCTTCTTAAATAAAATAAAAAATTAAGAAAGTTTGTTTTTCAAGGTATTTCTTCATTGAATTGAATTTTTCATGTCACAAGAAACGAAGGAGATATTTAAGTGGCATCTTTTAGCTGAAACACCCTGTATATTCAAATGAACTTACAGTAAATTCACCATTCTCCAGCTTCCATAGATTAACAGGACTTCTCCCGCACGAATTCGAGCCTGAAGTGAGAAAATACAAGGTCTCGTTGTACCTGAAGGTGGACCAACGTTCCACCACTCCAAAATTTTCCACTTTCGCTACCAACTCGAATTTCGTCCCTGTAAACATGTACGTGTGCATGTGGCACGTGTTGAAACTCAACATCATGTAATCAAGATGATCCAATTCGAAATAATGAACGCTGACGATGTTGCTATCGAATTCTATGATCTGCAGATAATCGAACGTTTTGAACTGGTAAATTTGTTTCTCTGCATAGTGTTTTAGGTGCCTCAAATCTTCACAGACACTCTTCAAATTTTCCTGTAACAATATATGATCGGATTAAAAATTTTATTACACCTTGAAGATAAACCATCGTACATTTTTCTCTGCCAATACAGCATCCATTTCTAAATGCTTCTCTGCCAAAGTATTCGAGATTTTTGTAATATCAGTGCCGTTTAAAATGTCACTTCCAAATGCTCCTTTCTCGAAGTAGACGTTTCCGTGTACTGTCCAGGTACCGGAAACTATCTGTTGCTGAGAACTGTTCGTGGTGACTGCCATTGCCTCCCATCGTACTGGGTCTATGTCGTTCAAGTATCCTAGTACTCGAAGGCTCTTGTTCAAATATATTGGCTCTTCAAATGTAAAGTTTCCTAGAAAACCAGATAATTGGTGTGAACGATTTTAATGAATAATAGTTTAAATAATGATATACCTATTATTTTGCTCTTTGATTTCAAAGAGATCATTCTGGTTGGATCGATGCCATTGATGAGATGGGCATTAAAATCGTGTTGCATGTGAACGTGACCATGGAAATTAAAGTGACCTGTTATATTCTGATTTCCATTTACCTAAATAAAAATTTTAAAAATTCATTTTTTTTATCCTCATCCTTGTTTTAATTGAAATATACCATAAATGTGGTGCGTTGAATCTCCTTCAAATCCTGGCCATTAATCATTCCTAAAATATCAATTTCCTCTACATTGACTGTTTGACACATCAAAGTTTCTGTAGGTATAGTTTGCTCGGTATTCAATGGAATCAATAGATTCATGTCTATGTTATTGAACTTCTCCACTATGATGTCTGATAGAAAATTCACATCAGTGACTGTAATGGGATCTGCAAACAGAAAATATTTTCTCATTAATTTTTCTAGAAAATTATCCCTAAATTATAATCCAAGTCACCTGTTATATAGGTGGGTCTATTTAAATACAGAACATTAATTCGTAAGTCTTCAATATTGATTCCCATAATAGATTTCGGTTCAAAGTTCGTTTTAACAGCAATATCATTTTCCACTTTGATTCCATCAATGAAAATAATCTTGGATTTAATTGAAAATGGTTTGTCGATGAACACAGCCTTCTCCTGAAACCTCTTCAAGTCTATATCGTTCAATTGATCATGAACAATAAAACCTCGATTAAAAGTAACAGAATTTTCAAACACTTTTCTTCCAGATATAATAACATTGTCCTCATTTTTGAAAACCACTGTATTTAAAAAGCTATCGAAATTTTCTCCTTGAATAGATCCATTAATATGTAAACGTTTTAAGGTGACATTGTTGTTGAAATAAACATCTCCATGAAGTTCAAAGGTATCATTGCCCAAGGATTTGAATCTATCCATCAGATCATGGAACGATAAATTATTAATCCTTCCAGTTGCATTGAACTCATTAAGCACGGTGATAGAACCTTCAAAATTGTAATTACCAATTACTACCATTAATTGCAAATTCCCAATCACCGATCTTACATACCATCTATAATTACAGGGCCTGTTAACGTCTGTTCCTTAACAGGATCGAACAAATTTTCCACAGGACGACCATTTATCGAAGCTGCTTCCAATTGAGCACAATTAACAACGTCAAACGTTTTATGTCCATCGATGACGATATTCGTGTCAGTTTTTAATATAGTATCAGAGACAAATTCAGAAAAATTTAAACCATTCATCAGTCCAAGAATCGTCAAATTTCGAATGGAAACATCTTCCTCAAAAATGATTTTCCCTGTCTGATATTCATTGTATAAATCTTCCAAAGCTTTTCCATTTACTGAATTCGCCTCGATGTTTCCTGTTACTTGAAGAGACTCCAAAGCTACGTTTCCACTGAAAATTTCTGTGAACATCGTGGTTAATCGATCATTCAATTCATTAATCTCATCGAGAGACATTCCATTGATGAACGTCGCGTTCAAATGATCTGTTTCTAAACGATCGATCTCGTATTCGTTCACAATCTTTGGAGAAGACAAACTTTTGGTAAAATTTGCAAAGTCGATGCCATTTATGAAAGTAGGTGTAATATAATCCGCAAATAATCTGTCCGTTGTTAAATTCTCCAAGAGAATGTTTTGGAAAGTTTCGTTCAGTTTTCCCTGGAAATCTTCGTACGAAATTTCGTTGTTCAGTTTATTAAAGGACAATTCATCTACTGTAATTGGTGATTTGAATACAATGATTTTATCCAGACAGTTATTAGAAGTATTTGAGTTTTCTTTGAAAAGAGTTTCTAATTTCTTCAGTGCTCCAAATGTTACATTTCCAAACGTGACGTTTGGTAATATTCTTACCAAATCTGAAAAAAATAGGAGTAAGTTATTAGTAATAAGCTATTATTAAAAAGTCTGGAAAACAAAAATAAATTATTTTTAAAAAGTCTAAAAGAATAGAAATGAATTATTAATGAAAATTGTTTACTAATTAATTAAATCTTTACTTGGCAATTCTTGTTCAGTGTTCAAAGTCACAAACTCATTTAACAAATGTCCATTCACTATTCCACTCGTGATGGTCACATTGGCCTTCATATGAACATCACTCAGAAACGTCTTAGTTCCAGTAATTTCAACATTCTCCTCGGTTCTCAACAACAAATCTCCAAAATTAAGCGAGCGTTTGTTCATAAATAATGTCTCAAAAGTGACGTTACCCAAAACGTTCAAATTTAAGAAAGTAACATCAGTGAAAGCTTCAGATGTTTCGTTTAATAATTTAATACCTTTTCCCTCGAATCCACTTACTTCGCCATCTATCTGTAATTAATTAACAATTAGTTCTCAGAAACTTATCTGTGAAACTTCAAAAGTTGTACCTGTAACTGTCCATCCACCGACAAGTTCTCGAAAGTAATTTCCTCTTTCAGAACGTTATCCCTGTTCAGAAAGATGAAATCTTGGAAATCGATGCCGTTCAAGGTATTCACCTCCTGCAGACGAGGTAACATTAATTTATCGAATGATTTGATACCAGTTACATTCACTGAATTATCGCCATGGATTAAAACATAATCATCAGGATATAGAAGACCGTTCACGATATCCAAGTCCAAAGAATCGGCTGTCAGTGTCTGAAATTGTTACACAAAATTAAAAATAAAATATTTATTTTACAATTATTAATAATTTTACCCCTTCGATGACAGTGTTTCCAGGGATGGAAGCTGGTTGATTAATCCATACAATATTCTTCATCAACGTTTCCCAATCGACGCCGTTAATTGTGCTGAAGAAAAGATGACCATCTATCTGTACTCTGTTTATTTTAGAGAAATTTACGTTATGGAAGTTGTAGGTGGAATCAGAGAAACGGAGTTTATCAACAGGAATACCATTCAATGAACGAATGGTCAGATTGTCAGCTTCGATTGAAGAGAAGATCTTATTTTCATTATAAGATTCAAAGCTATCCATCACGTTGATATCAT